TAATATTAAAATACCAAATGACCACATGACTCATGTTTTAGACTTTGCCACCTAATCCAAGATAACTATTAGTCATTTGGTCAAGAATTGGCTTCTTGCCACGTGGGGTTGGGGAATTGTAGTCTTTATCCACTAATTAATTAATTAGGTAATGTCCCGCTACTCGGTAATTAACTAATTACCCGCATAATTGAAAATTATCTAAAATTACTTAAAATTCTACTTATTTTTAATACACCTTATACACCTCACTATCATGGCCAAGGGGTACCTTGTATGGTACTAGTCCATAAATACCGGGTATTTTACCCCCGGCTAAATTTTATCCCAAAATGCCATATTTCGATGAAATTATTTTTCTTCGATTTGCTTACCTTCTCACCTTCACGAATTCACTCATTACTTATTTGAAATAGCATAATACTTGTAACCTCAAAACAATCTCATTCCCGAGCTTGCGTCGATTAGCTTTACGACGAAACCTTAATGTCCGAAAATGCGAGATGTAACATCTCATTCCCGAGCTTCGATCAATTTACTTATGGTGTGCTTTCACGCACGAAAACATAGGGTGTAACACGATATGCCCACAACACACCCAGTATCTCATCTAGCTACTTGTCTTTAGCATCTTCTAACTTCTTTTTAAGGTTTTGGATAATTACCTTATTGGTTGACTCCGCATATCCATTAGCACTAGGGTGGTATGGTGAAGATGTAATTTGTTTGATCTTCAATCCTTCCAAAAACTTTGTGACTTTGGAACCTATAAATTGTGGCCCATTTTCACAAGCAATTTCTTTTTTATTCCTAACCGGCAGACGGTGTGATTGTCGCGCCCCCTTTTTCCTCGCGGATTCTGGGATTCGACTTTTTTTGAGACAACTCATTTTCTTTTGGGAATTGGGCATGTAATTTGAAGAGTCGTCACCTAACTGATTTAAGGTGCGTTAGGGTACCTAAAGCAAATAACTCATAAACCAGTTTACATTAACATAGATTAGGTAAGGGCTCGAAATAACCTTGAGGGGAAGGTGTTAGGCACCTTTCGAGGTCCATGATGATGGGTCCCGCCCAAACTCGAATTAGGTGAATTAGTCTTATAAGCAAACAAAGCAATTAAAATAAATAGTGATTATTCAAACGGGGATAAAAGGGGTCCTAGGTTTGTTAGCCAATAGGATCACTTATGTGCAATACTTGGTAATCGTCCCCAAGTTGGGGTGCTACACATAACATTAGCTCACAGGTCATCATATCCTTTACTACCCGATGACCCACCCCTTAATTATTGTTACCTAAGTGCGCTAACAGTATCCAGTACATGCCTTATGTGTGCATTACCTGCCCCTTACATGTGGCCTTGGAGGTGTTTAGAACCTCTATTTAAGGAAGTTCTAGACTCACCTATGTTGTTTAAAAAGGATAAAACTAATTGACAAACAAAAAGTCAAGTAGGACTAGCATATAAAGATGCAATTAAGGTCTCATATTAATCTCCACAAATAGACAAACAACTGCACGCCTCAAACAAACAATTTTAAAAATTTAAGAGTCCTATAGCAGGATATCTAGATGACCACAACATATGCAGCAATTTTATTAAGGCAGGGTAGTAAATACCTAATCAGTTTGCCTACTGATTTTATTACTTCCTAAATCTGGGCAGTTTCAAGCAGCATAAAATAGCAGTTTTAAAACCCATAACTAAATCAACCTACAATATGGCCTAAGTGATAACCGGACAGGATTTTTTATAAACCGTGTCTAAGATATAAACCGATTACTAATTTTAGCGGCTAGTTTTATCATAAACCCTGTAGGCATGATTTCAAAGTGCAGAATCTTATTCAAAAACCTTATAGGAATGGCATCTAAATGCAAAAATGATTTCAATCTTATTGGCATGGTTTCTAGATTGCAGAAATGATTTTACAACTCTTTAGACGTGGTATCTAAATGTAGAATTCTTATTGATATGACATCTACGTGCAGAAGTGATGTAAAGTTTTATGGGCGTGATTTTGAAAATGCGGAACTGATTTTGAAACTTTCAAGGCATGTATTTAAATGTAGAAAATTAATTTGACAACCTTATGGGCATGGTATCTAAATATAATAGTGAATCTTGAAAGGATATTCAGAATTATTTTGGTCCTATACGCGTGACATCTAAAAGTGGATCAAATCCTATAGGCATGTTATCTAATGCATGCAATAACAAAATATAATTGAACTAGAGAATAACCTATAGGTAGGATATCTAATATATGGTAGTGAAAATATTTGAAAGAACAACACCTAAAGGAGAATTTCTACCCTGTTCTCATACAAACATTAAATTGGGCCCAATTTCCCCAATTCAGTATTGCCTCATCGTTATTACAAATAATTATTACAGACCATAAACAAATGAATAAATTACAAAGTGTATAACTATATGAGGCCTACAGCAGACCCAATATATCTAGATAACTCAGGCCTTTAAACTATATGCTCCAAAGCTCAAAGATACACAGTAACCATTGGCAAAGCACTAAGAACCCAAATATCTAGTGTGTCAGAGTTCCCAAGGGCTTTGAGAAACCAGGGAAATGTTCACACTTGAGAACAAATGTTCAGAAGCAGTTTTTAAAGGATTGGAAACAAGCCCCAATGTGTTAGAGTTCAGAAAAGTCTCATGGATCCTAAGCAGTGCTCATATTGGGGGTGGAAAGACCCTAGTTAACTAAGAGTAGGAGTTGAAAATAATATATGAAAATAGGAGACAACTTTGTTTTAGAAAGATATTTTGGATTTTAGAAGTGCATAAAAGCAGATTACTAGATTACAAGAACCACAGGCAGCAAATATTTAGCAGGAGGAGTTCAACCATGAACTCCAGTAATCATAATAGACAGGATAGAGTAACAAATAGTTGAACAAAGTTTCACATGGCTTTAATCTATTAGCTATTACTAGGTGAATTTATAGGCATACATTAATCAGAGAACAACATGTTGGGATCAAATTACTGATCATACAATCACACAGAAAGGTAGCAAAAGTCGAGAGTATAGAAATTATGAATTACTCAGGAGTTTGTTAAGGGGTGAACACTTAAAACAGGGTAGAACTCATGCTAGTTGGGAAAAAATAGAAATAGGTCTAACAGACATGCTGAAAAAAAGAAGCACATAGGTCTAATGTCATGGAAGTAGGCATGCTGATTAAGAGTAATAAACATGAAGCCCATAAGTCTAATTACATAGAAGTAGACATGTTGGTTAAGATCAATAAGCATGAAGCACATAGGTTTAATTACAGCATAGTGAATGATGGAAGAAGTGGAGACATACCAGTTATGAAATAGCAAACAGGGAGTTGAAAAGTATGCAGGATCCAATAGTCTAGCCTTGGCTTTCAGCCGGCTAGACAATGTAGAAAACACAAGTAACAGAAAGGTTTTAATGAGAGCAAGAGCTTATGTGTGTGTGTGTGTGTTTTTCTTGAGTGTTCGTGTAAGTGTGTGTCTTTGTTGAAAATAAGAACAAGAAGATTTTTATAGCATGCAATAGGATAAGTCACATAAAGTAATGAATCAATCACACATACATAAGGTATGAAAAATCAATTAGCAATTAGTCAGGAATAAATTAAGAGGACGGAATCAAATAAGTGCCACTTAATTCAAGGAGAAATCTCACACAGAATAAATCCATAATTAAGAGCAAGGTTAATAAGATAAGAAACAGTTTCCGAAATCAATTAGGAATCAGGACACACAATTAAGCCAATAATAAATATACATAAATAGGGGTAAGAACAAGTAAAACTTAAATAAGGAAATATGGGTACTAAATTCAAACCCTAATTTAGGTAAGTAAATCAATTAATAAACTTAATTGACAAAGTTAAAGGTAACGGGCAAAAGACAACAAGATAAATAGTCAGAGAATCAAGACCCTGGAATATGTCAAAGGCATATAGATGAAACTCAAACAAATCAGTCGAAATAGTAAATAAGAAAACCATAGCTGAAAGCATTTAAATGTCTGAGCACTTCACAGAAAACACGTTAGAGATCAAAACCCTAGGGTAAAGAACATAGTTATGATAATCAGTCGAACAATCAAAGAAATTAGGGTTAAACACTAAAAAATTGGTATTTTTCAAAAACTTAAAGGGGTGAAACCCTAGTTTTAGAGAAGACAAAATAATCAGTTAATAATAAGAAACACATAAAGTTTTTTAAGAGAAATAACAAAATAAACTTAAAACTATCTCAGATCTACAAGGATCAGAACACATTCGATCACCAAGAGACTATGGTTTTAAGAGAATGACAAAGACGAAAGAAAATCTAGTTTGGAACCAGATATTCGAGCCATAAACACAAGATAATAGCACTCACAAACGTAGATGACCGTAGGTATATTCATAAACGGTTTCGAACAAATTTGGGTTGGATATCTTCGAGATTCTTTCCTAAAATAACAAAATCGAACAACCAGAAGGGGTAAGAGGCTGGCAAGGGCCTGAAATCACAGAGGAACCTTATGGAACGGGTAAGAATCGAAGGGGTTTGGGGAAATTTTGGGGTGACGGTGCTAGGGTTAGGGATAGTTTTAGAGAGAACGGAGAAGACAAAAAGGAAAGGGGAAACGTGGACAAATGCTAGGGTTTGGGATAGCTGCAGGTTTAGACAAATGTCTGGGGTTAGGGGGGTCGTTGGATTAAAAAGGAAAGGGGAAACGTGGACCGTTGATCTTAGAGATTAATGACCACGATTAGAGAAGGTTCTTGGTCGAGTTAGACATGAAATTGGGCTAGGGCAGATTGTTTAATTTGAATTGGGCTGGGGGTCCGAATTTAAGAATAATTTGTTTTGATAATTAATTGACTTTATTTACCAAGTGAAAATATGTACATGATAGACAAACGAGCAAACTACCCCACTGTACATGCAGCCCCAGTTTGGGTCCTTCTACAATTCTTCTTTCCTATTTTTCTATCCTCTATCACTGTTCCATTGTATCCAGGTGCAAGTTCTCTTTGGTTATAGTCCTTTCTAACCTAGGAAACATGGTGGCTCTAATGTGGATTTCCTGAATAATCATTCTAACTATGCTTGCTGATGTTCTTATTTTCTGTTTGAAGATGGTATTGTTTCTTTCCTGCCATATATAGTAAACTACAGCAGCTAAAGTCATTCTACATAAAGTTGCTCCTCCACTTCTTCCTTTTGCTGCTCTTTGTATCCATGCCAGTTCTTCTTGCCATATCAGCTTCTTCCTCTGTATTCCTTGCCAATGCAGCAGTTGCTGCCATATTGTTCCGGTCATTTCGCATTCAAAGAATGAATGTTGAACTGTTTCAGTCCCTTGTTGGAATAGTGCACATGTGGTCTCTATATTTACTCCCCATCTTGCTAATCTTCCTTTGTTGCCAATATTTCCAGAATTGCAATTCTCAATATGAATATCCATTTTGGAAGTCCATAGTTGTTGCATATTATTTTCCTCCAGGCTACCTTCTGGATCTCCCCCTACATGGCTTTATACATTTCTTTAATTGAGAAGTTGTCTATCCTCTGCACCTCTTGTTCAGTGTAGCCAACATTTTCAAAATACTTTTTTGCCTTGAAGATCTGTTGAATGACCCAAGATGCATTCTTAGATGTTGTACTCCATACTGTAATCCCTTTTATGTAGTAAGCATTAACCCATTGTATCCATAACTTTTCCTTCTGCTTGCATATGTTCCATAGTAACTTGCAAATGGCATCTTTGTTCCATACTTCCACATTAGTAAAGTTCAAACCACCTGCAACTCTTGGACATCACAATTTTTCTAAGGCAATCAGTGCCTTCCTAGTAGGCTCTGCATTCCCTGACCATAGGAACCTTCTACATATTGTTTCAATGAACTAAATAATCTTCTTTGGCAAGATAAAGATCTGAGCCCAGAAGTTTTGAATTGCAGTCAAGACAATCTTTATAAGCACAGCTCTCCCTGCATATGACAGGACTCCAGCATTGTATTTTGTTCAGCATCCTATCAATCAAAGGCTCACATTAGATAATTGATAACATCTTTGTGCTTAAAGGTACCCCTAAGTATCTGAAGGGTAACTCTCTCTTTTTGTATCCCAACATATCCATAATCCTTCTTTGGTTCACTAGGTCAACTCCTCCAAAGTATATCTCCCTGCAAAAAAGTAACAAATCGTCAGCAAAACCTAAGTGTACTAAATTGACTTTAGCACACTTAGGGTGGTATTTGAACTCTTTGTTCCCCTTTAAGGTTTTCAATAGTCTACTCAAGTAATCCATTGCCATCACAAATATCACAGGAGACAATGGGTCACCCTGCCTAAGCCCCTTCCTTGCCTCAAAGGGTTTTGCTGATTGCCCATTGATGATTATTGTATAGTGCACAATACTGATGCATTTCATTATCCACCTTACAAACTTCTCAAGGAATCCTAGTAGTTTCATCATTTGCTTTATGTATATCCACTCCACAGAGTCATATGCTTTTTACATGTCAATCTTCAGCATACACCTTGGTGATATGTTTTTCCTTCCATAACCTTTAATCAGCTCATGGCTCATGATGATGTTATCAGCTATCATTCTCCTTGGAACAAAAGCTGTTTCGCATTTATCTATAAATTCTGGCATGACTTCTTGTAATCTTGATGTTAGCATCTTGGAGGTTATCTTATATAGCACTGTACAACAGAAAATAGGCCTAAACTCCTTGATATTTGTTAGATTATTCACTTTAGGGATCAAGGTAATAGTAGTGCAGTTTATGGATTTGCACAAATATATATTTTCAAAGAAGTCCAATACTGCTGATGTAATTTTCTCTCCTGTTATGCTCCATGTCCTCTTGAAAAAATAGGCATTATATCCATCACATCCTGGTACCTTGCTATCATCTATACCCTTCAAAGATGTCAGTACTTCTTCCTTTGTAACTGGCTTTATTAGCAGCATTTGTTGATTCCTGCTCAGCATATTCCCACTCCTTATTATATCTGGATTCACTACTGGCAAAGCAAATGCTGTTGTACCTAGTAGTGCTTTATAGAACTGTAGGATCTCCTCTTCAACCTCCTTTGTGCTCTGCAGTATGTGCCTTTCATTATTTGTATGTCTTCCAATGTGATTCCTTGCTTGTCTGTTTTTCACACAAGCATGAAAATATGCTGTGTTGGAGTCCCCCTCTTTTAGCCACCTGACTCTAGCCTTTTGTTTCATTATGCTTTCCTCTACTTCCATCTATTTAGCCAGCTCCATTTTAGTCTTCGTTTCTTCATCTTTGACTGCACTATCATTCTCTGGAGATTGCATATCTTGTTGAAGCTGTATCAGTTTGTTTTTTGTTTCTTTTATCTTACCCCCCACACTCATGTATTCTTGAGTGTTTAACTTTTTTAGTTCACCTTTCATTGGTTTAAGCTTGTACCAAACATTTTGCATCTTGTTGCCCCTATGTTTCCTCCTCCAGCAATGACTCACTATTTTCTTAAATTTCTAATGGTTAGCTAGGCAGGTGAAAAGCTTGAAAGGTCTCTTACCTTGTACAATATCTTCAGCCATAGTTATCATCAATGGGCAGTGATCAGAAAACTCATGTTGCATGATGATCCCCTCCATTTGAGGCCACTTTTGTATCCATTCTACATTGACTAGGATTCTATCAATTCTACTATGCACAGTGTTATTTGTCCATGTGTAATATCTCCCTATTGTTCTAATTTCAATCAATCCAACCTCCCCTACAATGTTTTTAAAATCTCTCACTTCCACATCTTGTACTAGGTTCCCTTGTATTCTATCTTCAATGGACATAATACTATTGAAATCCCCATTAGAACACTTGGCCAATTTACTCCATTCATTGTCCCTTTGAGATCTTTCCATATACTCTTCCTATCTTGGATATTATGTTTCACATATACTGCAACAAAAAAGAAGTTACTGTTACATTGCCTCATGGTTATCTGCCCTGCTATGTATTGATCATGTATTTATTTGACTTCAAACTCCAACCTTGCCTGATCCCAAACAACCCAAATTTTCCCACCTGGTTCTACTTCATAGTTGGTTACCCACTTCCAGTCCCCAACTACTTTCCTCATTATTGCATCAACCTTACTTTCTTTTACTTTATTTTACAGAAATACTATTATTGCTACATTATTCTCCTTACAAATTTTTTTTAGTAGTTTTTGCTTATACACCTTATTCATGCCCCTTACATTCCATGTTATAATGTTCATCATGATATATTTGTTGTTTTGGGATTATCTTCACTTCCTTATCTACTCCTCCTACTTCTCCACTCCTATTCTTCAGAGAATTGTATTATTTTATGGGCAGTGTCAACCAAAACTTTAAATGCATTGCCTACATTGACTTCATCTCCCCCTTTAGCTCCCACTATTTCTTGTTTAAGACCTTCTACTTGCAATTTGCCATTGGTTGCCATTCCCTTGCTGATTTGGGGCTAACTCTTCTTCTGTTTCAAGTTGCTCCATGAACCTTTCTTGGCCATCTATCGTATCCACCTTTGGATCAAGCTTTCGTACTATTTTTCATTCCTGCTTTGGCTTATGGTTATTGGTCCTCTGCTGCCCCTCTTCACTTTGTTTCTGTTGTTGTTCCTTACATGAGTGGCCAAGTGTTCAACATTCTTAGCAATATTATGGCTTCCAGTCATATTGCACAATCTGATCAATCCTTTTCCCAGTTGGATCACAAAGTTTTATTGATCCTGGTAAGGGCCTCATAATGTCCATCTCAATTAGAACTCTAGCATATGAAATTCTATCAGTCATAGTTGTACATGCATCAGCATATAGAGGCTTACCCAGACCACTCCCAATCTTACTTAGAGCCTTGCTACTCTAGTAAATAAGTGGTAGCTTAGGGAATTTCACCCATAGTGGAATAGTTCTGAGAATCTCATCCTCAAAATCGAACCCTCCTTCCATGGCCTTAGGATAATTGGTCTATTATTCAATGTGTATGGTCCATTCATTATAACATCATCCCTTTCTTCCGTACTGTGCATCAAAACAATAAAATAACCGTCACTATGAAACAATACCTTTGGCTTCCTGATTTTCCCCCATTGTTGAGCTATAAATCGTTCAACTGCTCCAATTGTTGGAATGTTTCCCACAACATATAGAATTAAGGTTCTATTCCATTTCTGTTGTTCCTCCTCTATGTCATCTTCCAGCAGTTGCGCCACTACTTCACCATCTTGTACCACTGGTGGAATATATGAGAGATTCATTCCTTTAGCTGCTAGTTTGTTCTCGCTAAACAATCCATCCCACGATCTTCCCCCAGCTCCCTGCGTTTGCTTCTCCTGCATACTCTTCTCGTTTCCTTGTGCTTTGTTACTCTGTTCCATGGTTACCTTCGGATTTACTGTTCCATTGTTTGGATTTTTGCTCGGACTTGCCTCTTCAGCTCCGATCTTCCCTACATGTGTGTTTTTTGTTTTGGAGTTCATCATTGGTGTTGCTCTAGTCACTATCTTCTTCGGTGTTGCCAATTTTAGCTGAGCAGTGCTCAGATCTGGCCAGTTCAGTTCACTATCACTTTCTAGATCTAGATCGCCTTCTTCGTTCATTTTCTCTTTAGCTTTTACTGATTGCTTTCCTTGTTCCTTAACGCTGACATCAGTGAATTTTCTAGTGTTCTTCCTTGGTCGTCCTCTTCCTTCCATTTTCTGATGAGGCGCAGGTTAGAGCACTTAACGTGCGCCAAGAGAGAAAAGGTAACTCAATTTATTTGGTATTTGTTAAATACCTAATTTATTAATAAAATAGTTTATAAAAATAGCTAATGAAATGATAAAAATGATTTTTTATACATGGAGGTGCATTTAAATAATTACTTAACATTATAAAATTATAAAATAATCTCTTTTTGTAAAGATAATGAAGTTATACATATGTATGAGCTGTTATTGCAAAATATGCAATTATAGTCTTAAAAATGCAAATGTAGTTGTAAAAAATGCAATTAAAATATTTGAAAACGTATATGAGCATAAATGATGAATCTTGATGATTAAATCATCGTAAAATAATATGAGAAATAATTATTGAATATTTATATAATTAAAAATACATAAATAAATTGATTTAATCCCTTTAAAAATTATAGAAAAATTGTAAAAACACTTATGCATGTTTCTAAATGCATGCACAATATTTTGAAAGTATGTATGCATTTTTAAAAATATATGAGGGAAAAATTGTGTATCAACAACTGCCCCTCTTTACCCGGGAAGGATGAAAAAGTTTTCGGGTGAAGAAATGATGACTGATTTTGATCGAATGGGATGTTTTGAAAAATAGATGCCGAACCCTGATTTTTGAGTTGCCTACATATCCATGGTTTTACAAGAATCAGGCCATGTGTAGTTCTGGACCCAACGGTGAATGAAGCCGATG